AAGGATGCAAGGATTTTTACAAATAATGCTTTCTGTGATACTTACCCAATGACCTATGATCTGACATAACCTGCAGACACTTAACTATTAAGTATCAAACTACCATATATGCCCAAAACTTTGCAACGAACACTTTGAGGTAATTGATATCCATATTATCATTCTAAAACAGAAATTGGGAACTGCTATTACATATATGGTATGACTCAGTACTACAAGAGTTATATGTAGTGGGAGTAATCACAGAGACTTGAACAATGAGAACATATTTCATGGGAGAAGTGAGATTTGAGGTCTTGAGAAAGGTTAAGACTTGGGAAGCAGAAAAGAAAAAGAAGAGCATTCTACAATGGAGGGAAAAAAGACACCAGCAAGAGGCAGAAGTACAGCTTCTCTGGGGAACAATTAGACAGTTTGATTAGACCAGAAAATTCAGCATAACTGTATGGTCCCTTCAAAGTGAACTACAAGCTGGACAACATTCCCATATGGAGCTAACATATTAAATAGCCCTAATATAATTGTTAGATATCAGGGACCTTGGGATTCTAATTTACTTCCTTCCACTAACCTGTTATATCACTTACGATTTTCATTACTCTGAAAGAATATAGAGACTGTGTTACCTAACTAATCTCATAGGATTATTTATTACAAGGAAAAAAAAATGGTGAATACTTGGTCTTAAAAATTTTTGAACAAAAGGACAGCAGAATTCAGAACTGGAATAACTCATACATCTGCTATAATATAACCTTATTAGAAATCCCTAATCTACCCTAACTACACAGTAAACTTTTAAATTCATTGCCTAATGATATACATTTAAGGATGAAAGAAGCTGAAGAACTAAGAAAGGAGACTGGGTTCAAGCAACTAGATATCACAGGAAAGGTTAGAAGCAGGACAAGAACAACATCTCCTGTTTTTCTGGAAAGGAAAGATAGAAAAGATCAAGAATAGAGAGAATGAATAACCTATCATCAAAACTGGAACACTTTTGAGAATGAAGGTGCAATTAATAATTACACTGGATATGCATAAATTGGGAAATAGGATCACCCTTGTCATTATACGTATATCATACCAAATTTTCCTAAAGGCTATGAGGAATCAAGAGAATAATTTTAAATAGGATTGACAGTATCACATGTGCTTTTAAGAAAGCTAACTTTGACAGACAGCAATGAAGAAGATAAACTGAAACTATGTGATACTGAAGGAGGGAAATAAGGAGGTAGGAGGTTGTTTTAACAAATCTATGATGGGCCGGCCCATGGCTCACTTGGGAAAGCGTGGTGCTGACAACACCAAGTCAAGGGTTAAGATCCCCTTACCAGTCAAAAAAAAAAAAAAAAACAAGTCTATGGTATAATGATGGCCTAAAACTAAGGTTAGGGTAGTGGAGATATAGAGAAGAGGATAAATCAGAGAACTATATTGGACATAGAACCTTCATATTTATTCAGAACTAAAATAAAATAACCCTTTATATGCATATTATAGCTGTATTTTTAAAAGAACCCTGAGAAAAGACACAGTAGATAATCACTATCTTACAAAAGAAAAAAGCTGAGGCACAAACATTAAGAGCAGTGTTTAAATTAGATTCTCACTTTGTATCTAACAGTCGATCACTTAACCACACCTCCAAGTACTAAATGCAAATTTAAGCTTCCTCTCTGCTTCCAACCAATCTCTGTCTAAATATAAAAAGAATCCTCAAGATTCCTGCCATACACCACACTGCGATCATCTCAGTGTTTTTGTTTTACCACCATCTTTCTTACATACCTGTATCCCCTTACCTCAATGTTTCTACAGAAGGTATTTTCTCCCTTGATCTTTATTTCTCAATCTACTTTTGTATCACCTCCTTTTGCTTTCCATCTGGTATTCTTCTTTGAAGTATAGAGTATACACCAATGTATCCCACCATCCCACCTCCAATAAGGGTGCTTGTTTTAAAACATTAACACCTATTTCCTTCCCTACTTATACCACAAGTACTTTATTAAAAAATTAGGTTGCACTGGTTATTATGTAATAGTCAAGGGCGACTTAATTGTATTTTTAAATACTCAAGATTCCTGCCATACACCACATTGGGATCACCTCGGTGTTTTTTATTTTCCTCCATCTTTCCTACACACCTTTATCCCCTCACCTCAATGTTTCTAAGGAAGACATTTTCTCCCTTGATCTTAATTTCTGCCCACTTTTTTGAGAACACCAGCTCCCAACCCTGGGGATATAGGTGCACTACACTGCAGCACAGGAAGCCAGAGTTCACATGCCAACAGCTTCAGAAAATGGGACAGAAGTGGGTTTTAAGAGAAGAAAGCAATAAAGGCAAAGTAGTCCTTATTTCCAGACGCCTATTTACCTGCCCTCCAAGGGCAAGACTCTTTTCTCTTTAGAGAACAACATTATGCATGGTTTTTAAATGACTCTTTTGGCTGCCTAGCATAAGAAAGCATTTCTCAAGTTGTTGACCACTATCATAATGGAGCGGGGCTGGGGAGTTGGGGGAATAGGAGAGGGGACTGAGTTCCCTCTAGGAATTTTAAATTTTATATTTTCACTCTGATAATAATATATTGTAAAAAATTCAATGAGCATAATTAGATCATTTAGGTGACAGAGCAGAACCATGCCATTTCTGTGCCTGAATCTGCATTTGTGTTATAACCACAGTAAGACCACCCTAGTTGTGTGCACTAATGAGAAATTAGCATAAGTGTACTTATTACATAATGCATTTGTATGAAGTGAAAACTAAATTATGTCAAAGAACACTACATGAATGAAGGGTTCACAGTAGTTTTAATAGACAAAAAAGTGGGAGAATTGAGTCATTACTCTATACATGGTACAGAAATGGAAACCTAAACAAAAGGGCTTTATATAGATTATTCAAGTTTGAAAAGCATTAGCGTAAGATATAGAAACATTAGGCAAAGAGAGCAATCCAAGAGGGCAAAGGAAGGTTTAAAACATACAAATTCACCACAGGTTTTCTGTTGGCTGCATTTTAATTATAATCAATCATTCCTCACATCCACTCTGGCTAATATTTGCCTTGGAGAGAGATAATCCAGGGAATATCATACACGCTAATACTGGTGGCAGTCTTGATTAAAAAAAAAAAAAAAAAAAAAAAAAAAAAAAAAAAAAAAAAAAAAAAAAAAAAAAAAAAAGACAGGGACTGTTAAATAGGATTTCATTACCTCAATTTTAGCATTATATCTGTCAGAAACTCCATATTAAGGGTAATGGGTAATGAACACTTAAGCTTATACTAAAAAGAACTTTCCCTTTCTTCATAAAAATATTGTGATTATTAAAGAAAACATGGAAATATGAAAAGGTAGAACAAAGAAAATAAAATCACTCACACTCTTCTCACCCAAACTACTACTGTTAGCATTTTGGAATATTTCCCTGTATTTATTCAATAATCAGAATTCTCTTTGTTGTTTTTGTTTTCCCTTATCATGTTTGAAATCACACTATACTATAAATCACTTTTTATAAACACTTTAACTTGAAATAAATTCAATAGATTCAACTCAGCCCCTAATCAAAATAGGACACCTAGGATTCTTTAGGTTTAGAGCCAGGTGAGAGCCCCTAATATCTCCTGACTCAGAATCAAAATAAACCTGAGGATAAAGACCAAAGAATGCTTTATCTCAGACTATTTAGTGCTTATCATAAATTTTTTTAAATGGGGGAGGGGCAACATCTTGGTCTCTTAGCCAGTGAAAGCTATAACCTATAATTCTGGCACTAAAATGCTACTGAGGTCTTTGATTCTAAATAGGAAATAATTAGTAACAAGAGGATTTTCTGAAGAGAGGTGATAAGACTGTGACAATGTGAAGAAAGGTAACTGGAATCATAATAAAATTGAGAGAGAGATACTTAGATTCTAGGGGGTATAAATTATTTCACTTATAGCCCTGAATTACTTCACCTCTTGAAATACATATGGGGGGTGTGCATGGCACATGACTAGAAGTTTAAAAATGTGGCATCACACACACACATGTAGTAGAGGTTAAATCTGGCTTTGTCACAAGCCACCTATGTAATCTTGGATAAGTCACTTTGTATCTTTGGCCAGAGTTTCTGAACCTGTAAAATGATGAAGCTAGAGATTCACTCTAGCTATATAAACCCTATTGAGATATTCTATTTTTTTCTCTGCACACTTAATCTCACAAACCAAACTGAGGTAAAAAAAAAAAAAAAAAAAAAAAAAAAAAAAATTCTTCAATAAAAATCTCTCTTAAAATCATTTCAATTAAACATCAAAGCAAAAAAAAAAAAGTATTCTGGGTAAATTAGTAATTGTGCTTTTTAGAACTGGTTTTATCTAATATTAAAGTTAGGCTTTTCCAATGACTAATGACACCTGGTTAACATATCAATTGCTTTCAATGTATACTCCCAGCAAGAATTCACCTGCTTTTTTAATCCTGCTCCCAAAACACCAACAGAGAAGTAAATAAGAAAAACACATAATACCATCTATAATAAGGTCTATGTTTTAATAGTTCCAAAGAAGGAAGAAAATATATATTTGTTATCATGTGCTATATTATTATTATATCCTTGAATAGTACAGGATATTGAACTACGCACTCTACGTAAATAAATTACCTTCTGAATTTTAGGTTGTCAAAATTTATATATTAGATCCTGCTCTAAATTGATTAAATTCTGTATCTTAATGATACAGGCATATTGTTCTTACCTTGCAAATAAAAATCCAGGCTGGAAACCCATCTATAGGAAATCAATGGGAATGAAACTATACAGTCATAAAACACTAAAGTACAACATCTCAACTATCTTTACATGAGAACTGCTACACAGCAGTTCATGTATTCAGGCAGATATCTGGTCTCAAAATAGTTTAGGAACAATGAAAAATCCAAGTTTTAGTTAACTACTGGTTAATGTGCTTTTTTAAAAAACTCATTTTGACTCACCTTAGTCCAAGGATGTGCCTTAATTTGAGGGAATTTGAATTCTGTGTAGTTTGGGTTCATTTCTCTAATTTGCTCCCTTGTTGGCGTTCCCAGGACCTACAAAAAGAAAGTAAATTATTACTATCTTTCTCCAAACACTTACAAATATAGTCTTTATGTTTCAATGCATTGGTTTTACTGAAAAAAGAAGTTCCAAAGTTAAATAAAATACATAACTCTCTAAATAGAGCAGATTTTGTGAAAGCCTTTTAATTTGTAACCTGACTACAGATTCCATGCTATACTACACTAGACAGACCTCTATGATAATAACGTTAAACCTGGACCATAAAAAAAAGACTGTTCAGAAATACTCAAGTGAAAAATCATCTTTGTTCTATCAAGAAAAACATAATCTATTGGAATGATCACATCTGAAATGACAGTATCTTTTATTTACTCAGTAATGTACATCCAAAAGTTATATTACCAATATATTAATCAGGAGAATCTTAATAAATACTGTCATCAATACAGTTGGCCCTCCATATCCTCGGGGGGGATTGGTTTCAGTTTCCCCTTCCCCCCACCAAAAAATCCTCGGATGCTCAAGTCTTATATAAAATGGTGTAGTAGGCCCTCCATATCCACGGGTTTCACACCCACAGATCAACTGTAATTCCATTCAGTCACTGAATATTTTAGTGAGTGTCTCATGTGTGTATGGAACTATGCTCCAATCTATGAAGGATACAAAGAACAAGAGATTTCCTACTGTAATGAACTTGTATGTTTGCATATTATAAAAAGTATAACTATGACACCAAAATACATTGAGCACTTCATTGCCTCTAGAGCTTCACTAGGTACTGGACAAAGAAAAGCACATGGGCTGCTGCAAGACAGATGACAGAAAGAAATATTAAATATGAGCACTCTGAACAAAGACACCATATATTACTCATCTTTATAACATTAGGACCTGGTGTAAAACAAGTTTGTTGAAATAAAATATTAAGCCATTTATAATTCAAGGATAGTTAGTTGCAGAGAAAGAGAGAAATGCAATGGTAAGAACTTGACTTGTGGTGGCAACCAGTGAATAATCAGGCATAATTCCATAATCATTCAGGGCCAAGTAAGAATTTCAGTATTTTTTTGATGGTTCTAATTCTCTAGATTCCACTAAAACTTTCAGAACTTCATCAAAGTTTTAAATGTTTGTTCTTCAAAAGACACTCTTAAGAAAATGAAAGGGCAAGTCGTGAACCGAGAGAAAACATTTTCAAAACATATTCTGCAAAGAACTTGTATCTGGAATATATAAAGAATGCCTATAATTCAAAAATAAGACAACCCAATAAAAGTGGGCAAAACATATGGACACTTCACCAAAGACAACACAGAGATGGCAAACAAGCACATGAAAAGATGCTCAACATCATTAATCATTAGGGAAATGCTAATTAAAATCAAAGATACCACTACACATCCAATAAGAAGCTTAAAATTAAAAAGACGGACCATGGATACCAAGTCTCAGCAAGGATGCAATGCAACTGAAGCTCTCACCACTGCTAGTGGAAATGCAAAATGATATACCACACTTTGGAAAACAGTTTGAAAATTTCTTAAAAAGCTAAATAATTTCTGTGCAAACCCCTGTTATTAGAAAAAAAAAAGAAAGATTACTAAACATTGAAATCATAACATTTATTCTTACTCCTATTTCTAACTTGTTCTGGGGAAAAGCTCAGTCTTAAAACACATCAACCTCCCATCCCTCTTGTAGTGCAATTCTAGCTAACAGCAAGGAGCAAGGTATCCGATTTGGGAAAGGGAAATCTCTGTGGCCCTGGTAGCTATAGATATCAGATGTTTATAAGTCAGGAACTACACAAACTTAAAACATGAAGGCTAAAAAAGAATCTAAGTTTTTATTCTTAAGTACAAAGCAACATTTATATTCTATATTAAACTCTTGATGAAGGGTACGTGTGTGTGTCTAGGTATGTGTGTACATGCACTGGGAAAGAGGGGAAAAGAGTGAAGAAGATTGAAGAAGCATTAGTGAGTTTATAAGTAACTCTGTCCCCCCACATGTAACTCCACTGGATTCTTATGAGTGCTAAAGAAAAACAACAGCAATGGCATGAATAAATTAGTACTGATAAATGTACACCTTCAGTGATCTTACAATCTAATGATTCCATTTCAAGGTACATGTCCTAACAGAGATAAATTCTTACACATCCAAAGCAGCATTGCTCATAATAAAATACTACAGACGACAGAAAAATCCTGCAGTAGAATTAATAAGTGAACTGTGGTATAGTCATACAATGGTATACTAACTAGCAATGAAAATGAATAAACCATAAAAAAAAAGAGAAAAAGAAGAAAATGAATAAAACCAGAGCTATACATGCCTTATGGATGAATCTCACACAGTGATGAGTTCTTACTCAACAATGAATACACACAGTATGACTGCCATAAAGTACAAAAACGGGTAACACTATATTTTAGTTTACATAGTAAAACTGTAAAATTAAATACAAAACTAAGAATATTCATCACAAAAATCAAGTATAGATTAGCTTAATGGAAACAATGTGGGAGGAATGGCTGTGACTGGGATGGGGCAAAAGCAATTCCTCTAACTTTTTTAGAATGAATGTTAGTTCTATAGATATTTATTTTATGATTGTGCTTTAAACTGAATATATTCTTATATACTTTTGCATTATGATATATTTCCCAATAAACAAAATGACACTTAAGAAATGCCGATTCTCAGAATCAGTGAGTATTTGTTGTGTACCCCTCCTCGGTGTATTCAGGACTTTGTTAATACAAGACACAGTCCTAATCTCTATGAGATGGTATAAGAATGCTAATAGGAATGAGGGGCACATGATGTTCATTAATAAATGTATCTTTTCACTGAACAGACAGAGATCACGTAGACTTATCCATTTAGCTAACTTTCCTATAGAGGCTGTGTGAGCGAATTCATGAGTTACACCATATAATGAAAAAGTCAGGATGCTCCTGGAAGTGAATATTACAATTCTTATGTGTTTTACTTACAACCTAAATATATTCCCAAGGGAAGCAAACAACTGATAAACACATGCATCTATGTAAGGTTGGCTTAACATATAAACTTCTAATAACTTATTTAATGTGAAAGCAAGAAGGTACACCGTATGTGTAATCACTCCTACATACCTCTCCCTAAATTGACTGTCTCACAGCCACTTATATCTAAACATTTTATCCCACACTATGGAAATTTTCGAAAAGCTGCAAGAATTTTACAGTGAACCCCCCACCTCCATACATACCACCCAGATTCTACAATTAACATTTTACTATACATTAACTTATCACATATCCAACCCTCTATCCATACATCAATCCACCTTATTTTTGATGCATTTCAAAATAAGTTGCAGACATCAGTACACATCAGCATGCGTATCATTAAGGTTCAATATTTCTGTTTTATCTAAGCATTTTCTATACACGTTGAGTCTTCCTTCAATAAACATCAGGGCGTGCATGTGGAAAATCTTTTATCGCAGTGAGAAATAATCTGCTTTGATGAACAGTGATGGAATAAAAAAGGATTCCTAATTATACTTACAATTGGTAATCAGAGTTTAACTAGCTGTGTTCTTTTTTTATTCCCCCTTTAAATTTTTATTTCCTCAATATACAATGTAGTTGATTATTATCACCGGAACCTCCCTTCCTCCTCCCTCTCTCCCCTCCCACCCAAGAATGTCCTTTCCGTTTGCTTGTTGTAACAACTTCAAAAAATTGCAGTTGTTATATCTTCTTCCCCCCCACCCCCAGTTTGTTTTTGTGTATGTGAGTGAATTAATTTATTTATTTTTAGCTCCCCCCAATAAGTGAGAACATGTGGTATTTCTTTTTCTCTGCCTGACTCGTTTCCCCCCCCCCCATTCTCTCAAGGTCCATCCATGTTGTTGCAAATGGCAGTATTTCATTCGTTTCTTTTTTTTTTTTTCCTTTTTGTCTTTTTCTGTGTCCGGCAACGGATCGCAACCCTCAGTGTCGCCCCCGTACCGGACCGGGACCGGCAACGGGATCGCAACATACGCAAATCAATAAATGTGTTGCTCCTGCACCTCGCTCAGCCAGTGAGCGGGAACCGGTCTGTATGTGGAATCCGAACCCTCGGCGGGAGCGCCAACGCGCTTCCCAAGCGGTGTAATATAGCAGTGCGCCACCGGGCCGGCCTCATTCGTTTTTATACCTGAGTAGTATTCCATTGTGTAGATATACCACATTTTCCGTATCCA